TTGAAAGCCAGTCTGAGAGCCCCCCAGCTCCCTGTCACTTACGCCTCCATTAGGGAGCGACCCTTTGACAATGAAGACCCTAACAGAAGATCTGTAGGGTTGGTCTGATTACATGTTCAACCAGTATCTGAACATCGGCGATTTAGGACACAGTGACTTTCTGCAAAGCCCAAGCACTACACCACGCAGCGACTACTCCTTTGCAGCTCTTCTGGTCAACGCCTGGCAACATATACCCAGGGTGGGTACTTCAGCCAGGCACATAGGGTATGCTTACACACGATGGCTTCCTCAGCATTGAAGTCACCTTAAAATTTCTAACCATTATCTGTCCAGATCCTTGGGGTCGCACGGTTTACATCAGGCTCCCAGGGACTGCAGCACGGCAGGACCTGCAGGCTCAGGGGTGGGCGCGAGCAGCCTCGGTGAGAGGCAGGACAATCTTCTAGGCCAGCATTGCTGCCAAAGAGACAGACTGATAATCTCATCTTCATGACACAACATAAAGCAGCTAGAAATATTTATTTTTTCCCTTTGTAAAATTTACCAAGCATGTTCCCCCAGACATTTCTCTTAACACCCTGACAAAACACAAAGTAAACGCAGGAAAAAAAAAAAAAAAAGATGACAGCTGTGCACTTGCTTTTAAAATAAGTGCTCTTCAATACTTGCAGGACCAAACTTCTGCTACAAGAGAAGGAAATGCATTTGTAATATAATGCTTTAATACCACTGGTGCTAATACAGCTAGTTCACTCCCTGAACATCCCAGGTTAGCAAGCCATATTCCTCCATTACAGCACCACAGCTGACATGAAGAAAGAACATTTAATACTAGGAAGAATATTCAACTTTTGGTTATAGAGCAACTTCTTTAACACCATCCGCAGAAACCTAATCACCTGTAGGCAAGATAACCATATTACATCCCCACTCAGGCCCATTTCAAAGTCACCCAAGCATACCTTATCTAATTATTTTTTACAGCATTATGCAGCATTATTCCCATGATTTAATCATGTCTGAGATCATTAGACACTATAGTACCATAAGCAAGCAATTACGACACTGACCTATGTTTTAGGGGACCTGGGCAGGCAAGTGCCTTTGTCATTTATCAGAGGGTAGTTTTCTGATTTGATTCAGACTCTCTCTATAAAAAGATAATTTACTTACCTGCCAGCTTTCAAGGACTGCCTTGAAGTCTGATTTAAACTAGGATACACAGTACATCTTGGGAAAAAAAAGCAACAAAACGTACACACCACTATTAGATGTGTAAGATAAACCAGGTTAAACAGGCAATTTAATCAGACTTGGTCAGATGGTTAAAAAATGAAAGAATCAAGTTAACAAAGAGAAGGGCATAGTCTTTGGGACTACTGCCTGCCAAAAGAGGAGACATAAAAGATTTAGGAAGTTCTCTTGCAGCAGACACATACACCCCAGACAAGAGCACTCTGGCATCTCACGATAACTCAAGTCTCCTGCGGGAACTGTAATTCAGTGCAAATTTTTTGTTCCAGACTTTTTGCTTGATCCAGGTGACATTGAGGACAGTCAAACAAGAAACTTAAAAATTAACACGAGGTGAAAAATCAGAAGTAAGGAAGCTTTTCAATGCTGCAAGGACGGGTAGAAAGGGCAACACCATACAAGCATTATGCCATGTGTGGGGTACTGCACTGACTGCAGATGCTGGCTACTGAAAACCCACAGGTCCAGTAATCGTGGAGTATCAAGGTTGCAGCTCTTGAGCATGGGTGTTTTATGAAAACCACAGTCTTCCTTCTAGCACTTTTACCGCAGAAACACAGCCTGTGGGAGGCAGACAGTCACAAAACGGGAGGTCACATATCTGAAGATGCAGGTAGTGTGAGTGTCCCTTAGAGGTGTGCAGTGGCTCTTCGCTGAGAGCAAGGAGGCCCTACTGCCCTCTTTCTGCAACACTGATGTCCTTCACTCATTAAAATTTCTTGCCATCACACTCACCACTGCACACCTCTGTTCCCATCCTCTTCCCCTTCCTTGTGTCCCCCTTACTTCCAAGCTCTTTATATGTACAAAGCCCAACAGAGTCCTGGTCCCAGTCAGCAAGGTGGCACCACTAAGGTAATGGCAACGGCCCTTGCTAAAAGACAAGAGTACTCATGAGACCAATCTGTAAGCTTGGAAATGTTGCATCAGAGGAGAAACAGAAGAACCTTTCAGAGAGACAAGGTCATGAATGGTGAGATCTACAATCATGAAACATTACTTTTACTTTTTACTTTTTTTTTTTTTTAAAAAAAAACATAACCTTTTTAATTGAAGACCCAAATTACTCATGATCTACTGGCATCAAAGGCCTCACAGAGGTCAGACTTACAGGCCTGCTGCTGCCACATAGAGTCTGCAACCAGTGGAAGAGAGGTAAAAATATAAGCACTAAAAATAATTTCATATTCAGTCCTATGCTGGGTCATGAAGAGCAGAATCAATGCTGGCTTTTGCTCCAGGCAGATTTAAGTGTTTCAGAACACTCAACAGTCAAGAGACAAAAATCATCAAAACCAAATGAGCAGTTCAAGGTTACAAATTCCTATAATTTCACAGTATCATCCGGAATTTTTAAATAAAATGTGGTATTCCGGGAGGGAGGGAAAAGTCACTGTTGGAAGTTCCTAGGAGTGCGTGAACCTAGAGAAAAATTGTAAATTAGAAAATTTAATTGTAAGCAACAAACCAAACCACTGCAGATAAATGTGCCAGACTTCGCTGAAGGCACCCTCCATTGTCAACGTCAAATATGAAGTATCTTTTGGGGGGCAACTCTTGGGATGGTAAAACTTAACAGATGGACTCCTCTTCTCAGCATATGTTGACAGGGAGGGCAAACAGCAGCAGATATTAACTGTCATGTGTACTTAAAGACAAAAAAATACACAACCAGTCTGCCATACTTAAGAATCCAAGTTTGTTTTATAAAAGCATATAGACCATACTCTCCATACGTTACTTCTGCAGCAAGCAGCAAAAATTCTATTATTAACTTCTTCAGAACTAAACACAATCCTTCCTTGCGGAGGATTTCTGCACTAATTTGGAAAAAGGAGAAAAAGAAAACTGATGTTGAATTGTAAATACTTAACATATATAAATATGAAAAGGAATAGAAAGGTGACTTCTCCTGCTATGCATTCAAGTCAGGAATTATTAATAAAAGAGCAAAACTCCAAAACTTGTGCTTTTGCAATTCTGCTCCACTCTCCACAAAACATAAAAGGTCTGAATCATTTATGATCTGAATTATTTATAACATGGATGAATTTTTGACTTAAATGAATTTCAGCAGAAAAATCCAAAACATTTTACCCAGAGAAGGCTCTGGGTTTCTTTTTTTTCCCCTTCACATAGCAAAAATGGAAAAAAAAAAAGTCTCCTGTCTTCCAGGCAGGATGCCTAGAAGACATTCATTGATCAATATTTTTCACAGCTAGCTATTTCAGTTCTCTCTACTGTGTCATCAAATAGCTTACGTTCCTAGTATAAAAGAGGAGTGGAAGATTAAATAATAATTATTAAAAAATCCTGCAACTGGACTAAAAATCTGCATACTGCTGAAGGCCACACGTAGGTTAGTTGCTAGCCTTCTCCCCACCTTTCCCCTGCAGCCCCCTGGGAGGAATCGTCCTTACGCAATTTCCAAGAACCATTAGCAAGCTCTTCCCCTCCACCCCCGAAAGTTTGTCTCTTATCTTGCACTTTTTCCCCTCTGTATTTCTGCTATCTTGAGTTTGATCACCGCTATACCCTCTCCATTGATTTGCAGTAATCCTCTCCATTCACTCCCTGGCCGCCCGAGGAGAGGGATGCCTGTGCTGGTGGCTCAAATGCTAATCCGAGTTTTGGCGGGGGGAGGATTGGCAAGTGACACGCCGGTGGTACCTGAGCCCACCGACTCTGCAAGCCTACAGTTCCCACTGCTGCTGCATTAGGCTACATCACCAGTAGCAGCCCATAAATGGTGCTCCATAAACATTTCTCCCTCTTACCGTGCTGCTTCTCCACACTATTCTTACTTCGGATAGTTTGATTACTGTTAATATGCTGTGGTTCAATCTCTTGAAACTCCACCCCCCCCCCCCCCCCCCGCCCCCCTTTGCCTTCTCCCTGACTGCAAAGTCACCGTATTTACACCCACACTACTTTCAAGAGTTGAGCAGAAATAATGCATTATTTTCTTAGATAGCAAAAATATACCAGTGTCACCAAACTTTAATATGTATCATTAAAATACCTACACCGCTCCAGTAATTTGATAGCATAGAATTTAAATATGTTAACCTATTTTACCAGCAAAATATAGCAGTAAAAACGCCTAGTGTCACTGACAACTTTCTTCAAGAAACTCTGACGGTATTTTAGGAATGTACTTCTGGTTTCAAAATAACTTGCTCATCTTTCTATTTATAAGGAAGTTTCACACTTTTACAATCCAATGTGTTAGTGTCTTATTTGCTCTGAAATAAAATTCACTAAAACAATCTCACAAATAAACATGTAAATTTATCTTTACATTGATGGAGAGAGCTTTAACAACCTTTTATATAATTCCTACTTTGCTTAGGTTTGTGGGTTTTTTTTTTTTAAATTGCCAGTCTACAATGAAATACCTTAAAGAGCATTAAGGTTACCATCTTAACTTGTGAACAACACACTTATCTGTGAGAATTACTTCTGGTGCTAGTTACAGATGTAACATACAAAGGTTGTCTTATTTCTTCCCCTGAAAGATTCTTCTATTAAAAAAAGTCTAAATTCAGTTTAGTGTGCATTTCATGCAAGTAAATTTTCTACCAGACTTCTCAATGACAGATTTTCTGACAGTCCTAGCCACTTAAAAACGGGTCATTCTACTGTATTTTTGAACAATGATGGACTAAACAGAGACCTAGAGAGGTTTATTTAGCATTAACCAGTTTTTTTATTTATAGTGTTATAAAGCAGACTGAAGAATTAGAGATGCACAAATGAAAATTTCTTAAGCATTTTATTTCATAACCTAGTGTATAAAACTTCAACATACCAAAAAAAACCCCAAAACAAAAACAAAACAACAAAACCAGAAGTGAACTAAACCAAGATCTCTTAATACATTTTCTCCAGAAAGCTTTACCTAAAGGCTCAGAAGCAGTAAACATTCAGCCTATTTCAAAATGTCATTCAGAACAATCTTCATACTTGCAGTCTGCAGAATTATGAATTAAATGGACCAGGCTTTGATGCCTCCTTAGAAACAGTTTAGTTGCTGTAAGCAGTGGTGTCTGTGGGATTTTTCCGTTGGATTTTTTTAAATACTTAGTTCACTTTCAAGATCACAATTAGTCTTGGTTAGTCATCTTCAGTGAAGCGAATATGTTTACTTGTTTGTTGAGTCTTTTCAAGTCTCATTCTTTCAGCTTTAGCAATCAACTGCAAACAGGAAAAATATTGTAGAAAAGATTAGAGGAAAATTATACCGTTATGGTTTTATCTCACAACAGTGAATATTATTCACTGATTTACCAAACTTCATAAGAAACAGCTGATCTTTGAACAGCTGTTCAAAGCTATACAGCAGACCAAAAAAAAAAAGTTAAAGTAGTCCTTTCAGTATTGCCTCAAATGCATCAAAAATAGTAAGGCATCTCATCAATCACTGGACAGTGCAGCAACTTGCATTCCATCCCTTCTTCCTCCCAGCATGGTTGAAGAGAACAAAAAAATCCCAAAAACACAGTCTTATACAATAAGTTAAGAAACCTCTACCCTTTTATTGGATTCATGGTGTTACTGATGTAAGAAAAACAAGGTTAGAACATAAAAAATGCCTTATGAATATTGTGTCATTTTTTTTTTTTTTACACTCAGCAAAGAAACAAAATCACTGAAATCCAGATGGGGGCCATCCTTCAGGCTGGGAAAACAGTACAACATGTATCGTATCACAAGCCTGCTGAGAATTAATCTCAAGAAATAACAGTGCGGCTTAGAGGAACACTGATGCTAGGAACCCCTAACTCAAAACCCCATCTAACCAAGGATTTGTTTCTTTCCAGTTGCATTTTAGGGAGATTCATTACTAGGGTACCTGGTTAGCCTGCTCCCAATACAGAGCAGTGAGAAATGCTCTTGTGGAAAATAACTAATCTTCTAATTTAACTCCTGTGTACTGTATCTTCAGACAGAAAACAAAACACTAGAACAACATCAAAAGCATACTTGTTTTTAAAGCATCCATACTAGAACATTCACAGATTTAACCACAGTACTGCAACAAAAGTCATACTAATACCCAAAAGCGAAGGTGAAAACAGTGTTTCTGCAATAACCCACTAAGATTCCTTAACCATAAGCAAGAGCTCACGAGGTAACTGGTACATGAATAAGATCAAGGGAAAAAAAAATCAACCAACCAAACTAAAATGCAAGGAACAAGACAGGCTGCCTGTTCTGAATAAGAACTGAGAAAGCAGGAAAGTCCTGTGAACCTAGGCACATTTGTAACACACCAGCATAAATCAGCATCAGCTCATCTGATGGAGACTACTAAAACATATTAGCTGATGCTGAGATAAAGGGGCACTTGCTCACCAGGCAGTTCAGTGAAGAGTTTTCTAGATTTGACAAGTTTCACATATAAATCAAATTATGTACTATTTATGCACATGGTGTGGTCACAGCTGTGTCCTGCAGACACTGCACGTCATACATAGCATGGAAGTGCAAGGTGTGCTGCTCCACTGATGACAGTAAGGAATTACACTTTACACTGAGGTTGCATGGATGCGCTGTTTGCTGTGCTGCAATATAATCACACTACCAGTTTTACTGGTACGTCCCCCTGCACCCCCCCCAGCATTTAACTTGACTACAATCCTTAACATGTTCTCAACAATATCACACTGTAAATTCTGGTAGGTGACTTTCTCAACCATTCTCCAGAAATAAAATTGATTGAAAGATCTAACTAAGCACTACTTTTACTCTCTGGTATCTGAAAAAATGGACTAAATGAGTTAAACTCTAAAAAGAAACAGGAGTACAGCGATTCATTTGCTCAACATATGGGAAGGAGAATAAACACTGGAAGGAAAGCTCAGGGATGTGAACTGCCCGGTTTGTATCAGTAAGTGTTTCTATGCCAGCACCTTGGAACTTGCAAGAGACATCAAGGATTCACATTTTCAGCGATTCAATCCAGTATCGGCACCTATTTCTATGTATACCACTATTCATGTCTCCAAAAATGTACCCAGTCCCTCCACAGATACCAACTTCAGAGAACCAGGGAAAGGAGCTTATTTGTGACCTCTCCCCAGGGGCACACAGACAGGGAACTGCTCAGTCTTGCAAGGACACAGCCCCGGGACCCAGGCATAATCAGAAGAGAATAGTGTGGGCTGTGCCCATGCATTCCCACTATCCTGCTTTTCCATATATTCTGCAAATTATTCCACCCTTCCCAAATACCCAATTCTCACTTCCTCAGCAAATGCCTTTCACTTCTACCACCACTCCCATCCTCCTCCTTTCCTTCTGTATATGGGGGTGTGCAAGGTGTAAACTTGGTTCAGCAGCACCTCCACCCAGAAGACAAGTACCCTCAGGTGGAAAGCTTGCAGGCACTCAGACCTTCCCTTTGTGAACAGATGATCTTTAATCAATCTAGAGAGTTTAAGGCTACACACTGATGAATAGCTTTAGGTCTGCATAAACTGGCACTGCCTTAAAGAAACAGTACTGGCAAGAAAGTTTTTAATCTGTACCATTAAATCACTGAAGTTGTTTTATAATGCAGCTGAAACACAGAGGAAAATGAACATGGATTTAGAAGGGGTAGCAGAGGGGAGCACAGAGATGACAATCAACAATCAGGCCCAAGAAAAACCCTTTTAACTCCAAGGGATGGCTAGGCGTTAGTTAAAAGTTCTGGGGAACCTTGGAATATCTAGTCTCCTTTGGACATATAGTTTATTATAAGAACTATGCCAGAGAAAGTAAAAGACTCTACCAATTCTTTTATCTTTTGTTTCAGAGGGGAGGGATTAGCCAGAAACCCTCTGCTGAAGCGATCATAAAGCCCTATCCTCACACGTCACAGGGCCCACTGCAGGAAAGTCGAGCAAGCCTATACTTATAACACATAGAAGAGCAGAATCTCAGGCTGCTTGAGGTTACATTCAAAAGTATCTCTGTGCTCTGTTACTGTGTACTGCCTGTACCATGATGCAGCCCATGCAACTATATGTGGTCATTATTACTATAAATACTCACATTGACATCATTGCAGCTATATAGCTTATATGAATGTTATCTTTTAAGCCTACATTTAAACACTAATTGAAAGAAAGTATAAAATGCTGCCTTTATTATAAAGCATAAACCAGCTAATTGGCAAATGCTTGTCTTCAAGAAAGATCCTGTAAGGGACTTAAAACCCCGTAACAGAACAGATCTTGACTAGAAAGATACACTAATGGCAAATTCAGCTGTACATGTTTAATTATGAATCATCATATTTCTTTTTTTCCTTCTTTTTATTGTGACCTTCAAAAGAAGTCAACTTATGATCAATTTGGAAAAGTTTTAAAATAAAATATCAAAATTAATGAACAGAGAAGGAAACACTTTCTTATTATTAGTCTCTATTTCTGGAATATAGACTGCCCAAAAGTAACGAAAGAGTTAAGAGTTATTGAGTACAGGGAGGCATTCTTTTCTTGATGTTTTGCTTAACAGTGTTAGCATTTAAATAGTATTCACTTAGCTTTGAAGTTAACACCTCCCAGGGCTGCAAGGTGATGGGTAAGGGGGAGGAGCAGAAGTCTGCATCCTTGCTGATGTTATTGTGAGGCAGAAGTGAAGACAGTTTATATTTGCAAGCCTAGATGAGGTATGTTACTGGCCAATTTACACCAGTTTGGTCAACAAATAGGAATCCTTAAAAGATGAAGAACACGAACTTGAGAGTAGGGCACCTACAATCCAAATTACAGTCAAAGGTGCCACTGGCATCTTTTGTTTAAAAAAGTAAAAGTACATTTAAAAAAACAACTGAAAAAAATCCCCCAACCCTGTCAGCACTCAGTAAATGGCTCTAAAGCTGGAAGGTTTGAACAATCCCTTACTGCTTATCATAATAATGGCTAGAACCAATGTCATTTTTATGCTTTTAATAAAATTAAATCAGTCATTTGGAGAAATTCTTTATGTACACCTTTGTTTAAATAAACTAGATTAATTTCTCCACAGGATCTCCGAAAGAACATTTAAACAAACGAGATAATACATGCAAAATATGCCTTGTACAAGATATGGTTTTGACCTGTATAATTGATGTTCCTTTAGGTCAATGTAACATTTATTTTCAATTCTATACAGAACAACTAGGAAACTTTTGGTATTGTGTGCATCAGTGGAGCGTCTAGGAAACAAAAAGTCTCCAAAGTCACCAGCAAATAATTAAGGTCAGATGATTTTGAAGTTTTGCAAGCGACAGCATAAAGATTCCAGTTAAAGCCACCTCAGAAACCTTATCTGCAGTGTGTGTGAAGTAAACCCAGCAATAAAATGTGAAATACCCTTTGGCTCCTCTCTGTCAGGTAAAGGATCTGACTGGCTTAAACAAGAACCCTTCGTGCCTGGAAGGTGCTTCTGGGGCAGAAGTGGAGACTGCAGCCTGCAAGTTCATTGCAACAATCCCTCAACACTGTGGCTTGACAGGTGCACCAAGGTCAAGGCTGGAAGGAAATTTCACTAGATGTGAGGCAGTTTTGGTCTGGAAGATGTTCAGGTATGGATGCTTGCAACAGAGCACTCAGATCTGTCTGGATCAGGACACTGACACACTGGTGCACAGACCCTTGATCACCTTAGGAACACACCAGTGTTCACCATAGCACAGAACTGTACACCAAAAAAATTGTGTAAATCGTGAGAAAAAAATAATTCCGAAAAAAAAAAAAAATCTTTATCGTACTAGGGAATTAAGACTAAAGCACTAGACTTCATCATATTGGAGCAAATCAAGCCTACTTAACTTTTTACTGAGCTCATCCAGACAGGATTTTAAAGGAAATCCAGTTTACAAATTAACTTCAGGCCTTTAGTTATGGACTTCGCTTTCACATATTGTCTCCATAAAGACAAGCCTTGTATTTGGCAATTGGACCAGGACAGTCACCGTTCTCTACTTTGTGGCTGAAAAACCCTGCTGTGGTCAGTAGAAAATAATCTAACCAGCTTAAATACAGAGCCAAACGTTTAAGTATCAAAAAAATGGAGACCTACACAGAAACAGTCATTTTTTCAACCATGAATACACAGGAAAAAAATCTGACTTGCAGATTACCTTCTCAGTACCCCGCTTCTTTTCTCGAGGCTGGTTAAGTTTAGCTTGTCTGTCCACTAAAATCTTCTGCCAGTAACGTTGTTCATGATCACCTCGAAAAACAAATGAACATTACAGTACATGAATACATGTATTCAGTAAAAGTGGATGCAGTGTTTTCAGTTGTGATGATGATGAGGAAACTTCTAAGGTAAACATACGTGAAAGTGCCTGTGAGGAAACCTAACTAAGTACTTCCCCACTAGTCTTAAATTTCATACTCAGAGAAGTTACAGAGCATTGCACCATCTGACCAACACACTGAGGTGAACAAAGAGAAAGTGCTTCTGTGCAACGAAGCTGAAAACTGCCACCAAGGTCTCTGTTCTGTATAAACTGGACAGGACCTGAATGAAGGTCCTATGCATTTTATTAGCTTTAGGGCTGGATTGCCAAGGTATTTAACTAAGCTTTCCAAGCAAGGAGTTTTACAAACTTTACAAGAAAAACTGAGGAAATATGCAAACACCACTCTCTACATGTAATTAGCAGAAGGAGCTCAGCTTTAACTGTAGTTTCACCATAGCTCTTGAAGGCCCTTTGATTTACTGATGTACTCAACCTCTGACTAATTTTAAACAACTATCAAACAAAAAAAAAATTACTGCAGGAACGACTGAGACTGTGTTTCATCAAAACCACTGCTAGAAGCAAAGTCTGGGGACTTAATGAGCAGTTAGGAATACTTCAACATGGGGGGAAACAGAAGAGGAAATAATTTTGCAAGCTTTTTCAGCTTCTGTTTTTCAATAAAAAGCAGTTTGCCACTGTTTCCTCTGATTTCTGCTGCAACTATTATGATGGGAATTTTGTGATGTAATGTTGTACAATCTCATGGGAAATCTTCAGTTACCAAGAAGTTTCCAAATGATCTTGGTAAAGATTCCAAAAAAAGTTATGGAATAAATTCTGGGAATCTGTTTTGCATCCTTTTTAAACAGCATTATTTATACATTCAATCACAATAACATCTAAACATTACCATACATATTTACCATCCTGTCAGATGAAAATCTGAAGACATTTAGTCAAAGACAAACCCTGAAAAGTAAAATATTACTAGGATACCTTTAGTCCCTGCAGTAGGGAGCGTTAAAGATTCTTCCCTTATTCTTATTCTCTGTATTCACTTTATGCCCCCAAGAAAAGCTGAAATCCTTACTGAGTCACTTCTGTGTTCTTCAGAAGCCTTTCCATTCTCATTTCAATGAACCAGTTTGAAAAAAAAAAATACTCTCTTAAGACTATGAATGGAACAATCCTACAAGGTCTGAAATGTCGGTACTTCCTCCCAGTGTACTACTACACTCTTTTATATAAGGATGCAAAACCAGAGACAAATACACACAGAGCACACAGCTGTACAATGCTGTATTTCAAGTTAGTTCTGGATCTCTGGAGATAAATTATCTCCAAATGACATTAGCAGCATTCAGTGAGTCTCAAACTTTAATTAACTTTGATATTTTGAGGGTTGATGCTTTCTTTATAGCTCGCTCTTCTGCAATCCTTAACTGACATTTATGAGGGTTTACATCCCTCCATGCATGGAACTGGGCCCTATGTGAGGATCTGTACAGTACTGTGGTAAAATATTTAAATACATAGATGAGAGAACCTCATTTGGATTGTTCTATTTGGGTTTTCTGTGCATTTCGGATTTTTAGTGCATGACTAGAATTTTAAAATTTTACAAAGTTTGAGAGACTTATCCCCTCCTCCATTCTTCTACCCCTCACTTTCATAGTGGTTTCTCTACACCTAGAAGACTAGTCCAATCTTATATTAGATACGAATTTAGAAGAGCAGACTAATTTCAGAAAAATGTAACACACATTAGGATAAAGTTCTAAAGTAAACCAGTAAAAATTTTAGTGAAATACAATTTTAAAAAGGTATAAATTATGCAACTTCCTGAAAAAAGGAAGATTAATTAGAAGGCAAGTGCTAAAATCACTCTACGTATTCATGCTGTTAGATCCTTGTCCTGTTATTTCACACATAAGTTCAGTATTTTCAATAAAATCTTCATTTAAGATTCTTCTGCATCATCAGAATGTTACATTCATAAAGCTGAAATGTGAATTGTTCCATAGTCCATTGCCACTAAAAGTGACATAAATACATCTCAAAAAAACAGAATTAAGTTGATAAAGGCAAGCAAAATCACTATTTTGCTCTGAACAGTGGCATAAAAATCACATACTGTTTTACCAGTTTCACTATAATAGGAAAAATGAGACTCACAGAAAAAAAAAAGCACTTTTCCCCAAGCCAGATATCTAAAAAGATCCATAAAACTCCCATACGATACATGCTTTTCACAGTACTTGTCTTCTCATGTATTATCATTTAAAAAAAAAAAAAAGTCTTACCAGTGAGAATTTCGAATTTCCAGTTTGTTTTGATCTGTATTTCTTTGTATGATTTCAATACAGTCTGCGCATCCTCAGGAGTATTAAGACGGACATGACATTCTGTGTCTCCCTCCAGCATGTCAACATAAGCAACATCAGCCAGAACTGCCAAAGCATTCTGTCACAGAACACAGACCATAAACCAGACTTTAAAAAAATAATATAAAGAGCAACTTTTTGACCATTCAATTTGTAGGTGACTGACATTTTAAAAAAAAGTAATGAAGTAGAAGGCAATAACTGAACTTAATCAATGAATCTCTTGTCAATTAGTTTTGAATTTATGTATCTTCCCAACAAGATTATAACTGAATTCTGATTTATGAGCCTACAACATCTCTTTTCTGTCATCCTGCCCTCCAAGAATTATTTAAAGCAGTAATTCCTGAAGATGCTCTTTTTTAACATAAGAATACTTTTACTAATGGAGCATCAGTAATTATCCATTTATTTCAGTACTGTATCCGTATAGACTTTTTTTTAAAAATAAAAACTGTGTACTATAACGTTGATATATGTCGGTCACACAGAAAAATACCTAACTTCATTCTATGCATGAAATATATAAAAGCAAGCTCATTCATGGCAGATTTGAGAAATGAGTAGTAGTACACCGACCATTCCTATCTTTACGAAGTGACCTCTGTCTAAAAATTTACACTGACAGCTGAATGGAGAAGAGTCACACATGCTCTTTCAGACGAAGTACTTCACTGGCAATACCTGCTGTTAGGGAAATTAACTAAGACCACACATTCCTAGGCAATTTTGTTCACAGCAGGCAGCTCAAGTAAAATGCTTCTATTCAAGAATCACAGACTGCTTTTAACCCTCCACTACCAAGGACAGCCTTAAAACAAAACCAAAATTAAGCGTCGATACTGTTGAGACCATCTGAGAGCCAGCTAAAGCTACTTTCCATTCTTAATTCTGGTAACCCAAAGTCATGCTTACATGGAAAACTACAACGATCCAGATAGTTTACTGGAGTTGGCAAATATTCCAATATCCAAGAAGTGCCTTTATAGCAAAATATGGGAGTAGTGAAGTAAAAAATTAAAACATAATAATATTAAAACTACTCTTCAAAGACCTTTCCAGTGTATGGAAGTAATTAAACCTGCCAGACAATCAGAAATACATATCAGTTCTGTAAGTTTATTAAGGAAAAAAAAAACCTAGATGCATTGTTTCATGGCAGCATTTGCTGCAGCAGTCCAGGAAGACAGGCAAAACAAGGTTTTGTCAAAGAGCTACACCTTTCGTAAAAACAACTAGTATGGCCAGAAAAATCCAATAAGCATCAAACACAGATTGCAGCTTCCACTGTTGATCTGAAAAACAGCTAGTGCACCCTAAAGATTATTACTTCTTCCAACTACAGTTGTATTCTGCAATTATATGTCTCTCTAAAAACCTTGCCTTACTTGTTTGCTAAGAGTTTGTAATAAGTGGTTAGGCAAAATATTTCACAGGAACCAAAGACATGATTGATAACGGCAAAGACCACCCTGATCTTATTTTGTTCCCCTTTACTTTCATAACACATTAGTTTTCCCTGAAACACTTCCCTAAAACTAAACCAAAAGAGTAACTGGAAATACCAAACTAAGTTTGTTTTCATCTACTGTGGGAACAGTAAGCTTACCTCCTGACCACAAGATGTTAAGTTGTGACAAAAACTTAACACAGTGAGAGGCCCTCAAATGTTACAGTGACAACTACTACATTCTCTCAGTGTCTGCAGCACTCAGACGACTGCCTACAAACACACTCAAGCAGATAAGACTAAGTTGAAACCCTCTCATCAGTTTGTTTTAGTGAGACATCTCTCATCTTGCTTAGATTTATGCACACACTTAAACTTCACAGACTTGCAAGCAGCCAGTCAAATTGACTACTCAGTTATAAATATAGGTAGTTTGATAAATCATCTCAGAACTTGCATTCTGAACCATTCTCTCATTGTCCTAAGTGGTCTGATTATTTATGCCAACATGAGTTAAAGTGTTTAAATTCTTTCCAGTTGTCATTCATCCAAAAGTGGAATTTGTGAAAGAAAATGTCCGGTGTTGCCTTCATGGAAAACTCAGTATTTGGAGAAAGCCTGCTGTTTACTTTGGAAAACTTATTATTTCCATTTTAAAAGGATGCAGGTTAAAACTGGTATTTTCCTTAAAATAAAATATTCTACTTGTGTAACTTTCATATCATGACATGAAACGCAATTCAAGTTACCCTAAACACATACATTGAGGAAAAAGAGCACTTGCCATAAGGAAAAAAGAAGAAATGGGTGAATGGATTACTGGACAAGATCCACTGCTGTCACTCTCAGTGAACTGGAGTTTTCGTAATTGTGAATTTCTTACTGAAAAAGAGACAATTGTTTTCTCATGCTGAGAGCATTTTCTTGCCCCCAGTTTCCTGTTAATGGTAAAACCCCTTGATATACTATTACAGATTTCTTGATCTGAATCGTGCCAGAATGACTGAGACAATGACCAATAAAGAACACTGCACCCGCTTAGTCTTCAACTTATGTTTTTAAACTGGAAAGAACTACTCATCCTCTAGAGCATAATTTATTTTTGTCATTATTTTCACTATAAACTTGACGTTGCTTGAAGCACTCTAAAGGCTAATTCTTACTTTGCCATATCCTCTTTACGCTATTTTGCTGTTGTAAAATCTACCATTAACAGGTACTAGAGAAGAATCTGTACACAGCTACTGGCCAAACAAAATAAAAAAATCAGTAAGACTTGTTTAAATGGTATTCCATATTCAAACATTTGTGGGGTACTGTAAGAGGAAAGGCTAACAGCTACCCTGAGGTTACAAAGGCATTACCTTGATCTGCTTCCTGCCCGGCAGGGGCTCAGTGCTAATGATCTTCACAATTACTCCACTCACGAACTGGGGTCTCATTGTGTTAGCCTTGGCAGGAGGGGCAGAATCTTTACTGGTGGCTGGTCACATTGAAAAGAGAGGGGGGGGGGAAAAAAAGAAAAAATTTTACATTTATGAGTTTAACAAAATAAATATACTATGAAACGTCAGAAGCAACATGGTGTGCACAACAAATGGAACAAGAGGCATCAAATATCGCTGCTGCAGATTAAGACTTCTTTTTTTAATCTAGGGTCAAGACTGTTCACAAGGTAAAGTCAATGTGAGTTTAAAAAAAAAGAAAACAGCTCCAAGAGACTTAAACAAGTTTTTTACAGCCTACAGGGTCTCCTTCTAAGAATAATTTATATTCTATTGATTACAGTTACCGTAAGGCTGAAAATTACCTTACTTAGGAGAGTTTTGTAAATTGCTGCAGGTACAGTTAAGCCTGAGCAAATCAGGCCCAAGTTACATCATCAAAAAAGTGGATTCTTGATTTACCTCTGAGGCTTTTATAACCTTAAAAGATCCTTAAGCTTAAGAAGCATTACTGGAATATGCTGAAGTTACTTGTTTAGTCTTTACTTATAAAAATCCCTTATTCACAAAGCTTTCTAAATGAGGGTTTGCTTTTAATAATATTTGACATTCAGAAAAAACACCAGCATTATAGAAAGTAAAACCATTTTGCAGTATTTCTGGAGACCAGTGTCTTGTTTGTGTACTAGAGTCATGAAGAAAACAAGACAAAAAACATCATAAACAGGATTACATTTATTATATTCAAATTGAGACTTCTTCTGTGCCCAAGATTCTGTTTCCATCTCTCCCACAGACTCAGATTTGATTTGAGACATCGTTTTCTTTAAGGAGGCCATACTGGCTTTTTGAAGAGCCAAATATTCTTGCTTCAAATCCATCCATTCGGTCCTATAAGCAGTAACACAGGATTAGGATGTCAGATGTAAACAAGAAAATGACGTTTATAAACTCAGTGTTAAGACAGAACAGTTTACAAATAGCTTCAGCAAAACTTGGTGAGCAGAGCAGACCATTCTTAACATTAAAGATCTCCCTGCACTTAGCTTAAATTAAGCCTTGTCACTACCTGCATTTTTACTATTTTGCTTTAGCTTTTAATATTCCAGGCAAGTTCTAACAAGATCACTCAAATAGAGTGCAACTATATTCACCTTATATTCAGAAAAGTATAGAACAGCTTGGTAAACTGTTTTCTACTGGAACTAGACAGAGCATAGGCACTAAATTCAGAGTTAATTCAGAGACAGTGAACTCTGAATTCACTGAATTAGTTCAGTGAACCCACTCCCGTGTTACTATATTAAGAATCAGTCATTTCTTTTCTAGAAAAATCATTGATAGAAAATCAACAACTGGTTAAACTCACCAAAAATCTACTGAGATAAGAACATTCCTTACTATTCAAATGCATTTTGGTTAAAAAATACCACCACATGGAAGCAATTTATATATTTACATACATTTAACATGGAGATGTTTCTGCAAACAGCTAGAGCTTTGCTCCACAGAAACACAATGCCTATAGTGCCACTGTGAGAACGACTCATTGTTACCCTAATCTGTGCTATCAAACAAGCTGATAGAGGATTTTTAAAGAGGAGGATATCTTGTGGTAATGGTTTTAGCTGTTAACATTGACAACTGTATACTTCAAAAAAGCATCCAGACTCACCCAGGATCATACATTCTCAACAGAGCAAAGACATTAAAATAACAAAAGACCCACGTAATGATTCTTTGAGATAAAAAGGCAACACCATCCCGTAGCAAGGTATGGTATAAATAGAAGCTCAAGGAGGTACTTGCTGTTAACTTGACTCGAAGGGAGAGAAGACCGAGTGAGTCAGGCAAGTATTTGTAATGCTTATGCTCTTTTAAAACTGCGCCCCCCCCCCTCCCCTCCCCAGTTAACTAAAATTTAAAACTTTCTCTGTATTTGACGCAGGAGTCTCCGAATTTCAAGTGAAAGAGGACAACCATCGTTGCTAACTACATTTTTTTTTTTGTGGACCCCTTTTACTTTAACATGGAGGTGCTTTCTGTGATTTTAAAAAAGTAAGTGCTTCTATGTTTTAGTAGAGGTGAATCCTGATCGCAATACTGAAATACCATCCGGGATTTTTCTTTCATCTACACTTTGGCTTCAGTCTTTTTTTTTTTTTTTTTTTTTTTTAAAATCTATTG